CCTTATGGGTACAAGCAGTAAGTTCTTAAATGGGTAAGGTAATGATTTAAAAAATACAGATACTTGCCAGAGGTGATATTAAATTAACAAAACAACAAAATCTAATAATCCTGAGTGCCACAAGGAGGCCATTTGGAAGCCCAGGTACAGCTCATTGCCTTGGTAGAAATCAGGTCTTTCCTTGTGTCTTGGACCATCAAATAAAGATTACATGTTATCGGGGCTTGCCTGGTGTTTCAGTGGTAAAGACTCCGCCTGCCAATGTAGGAGACATGGGTTTAATCCCTCGTTCTGGAAGACCCTACATGCCTTAGATCAACTAAGCCCATGCACCCCAACTACTGAGGCTGTGCTCTAGAGCCCATGGGCCTCAATTCCTGAAGTCCACACCCCTGAGAGGCTGTGCTCCGCGACACGGGAGGCCACGGCACTGAGAGGCTATCGGACCACAACTAGAGAGCTGCCCCTGCTTGCCCCAACTACAGAAAGGCCCTCAAAGACTCACCACAGCCAAATATAATAATAATTAACTAATTTTTAAAAAGACTACATGTTATTAAAGCAAAATTAAATGTTAAAGCATTTTTTTCAACAATAATACAGCAATACCCAGGGCACTCCTATTCTGAGAATTACAGTGTGGTTGCCGTGAAGCCCCCAGTGTTGAAGCTGGAGAGAAGCTTGGGGACAACCTTCTTTAAGTGAAGCCCACAGCCGCCCTGTGTCCAGCCCCCTTGCAGGAGAGCCGGCCACAGGAGGGACCAACGGAACTGCCCTCCCGCCGCCCAGCGCTCTCCTTCCATCCGGATCCCCAGGGAGGACCAGGGAAGACCAGCACCGCGAGAGCAGCCACTTCTCTGGACTCCCAGGAACAAGAGGGCACTTCAGCTGTGGCCCACCAACAGGTTCCAGACACAGAAAGCTCTTACAGAACCATCTGCCCATCAGGATTTTCTAAACAATACTTGGCTCCAGCCTCTGGCAGAGAACTGGGTTCTTGAGCAGTAAAATGAGTTGAGCAAAACTGGTCATGCTGCCCCTGCAGATGGGGAGGAGGGAGGAGGTCCTCCCGCTCGCTCTGTTCCGGTCCCCCCTCTGCACGTCTCTACAGTCAGCCGTTTGTCCTGCCCTGCGGTTCCAGGGAATTGTAGCTCTCACTGCCAGGACACCCCGTACACATGCCCTGGGCGAGGCTGTGGGTGGAGAGCCGGAGCCATGGACCTGTCTGATCAGAGACAGAAGGCATCCCATCAGACAGCCACCTTGGGGGGCTCACTGCAACAAGAGCAGATTCTGGAGCATTTAAGACTACCTGCAGAAAGTTCCCAGAACTAGGTGGTGAAGGAAATCTAGTTAGAAAATCAGAAAAGGAAAGGAAGCAAGGGAGAGAGAACCTAAGAACTGATGCTTTTGAACTGTGGTACTGGAGAAGGTTCTTGAGAGTTCCTTGGACTGCAAGGAGATCAAATCAGTCAATCCTAAAGGATATCAACCCTGAATATTCATTGGAAGAACTGATGCTGAAGCTGAAACTCCAATACTTTGGCCACCTGATATGAAGAACCAAGTCACTGGGAAAGACCTGATGCTGGGAAAGATTGAGGGCAGGAGGAGAAGAGGACAACAGAGGATGAGATGTTTGGATGGCAGACATGTGTTTGAGTAAATTCTGGGAGATGGTGAAGGACAAGGAGACCTGGGGTGCTGCAGGCCACGGGGTCACAAAAAGTGAGACAGGACTGAGACACTGAACAACAATCCTCTCTGAAAGGGTGCAGATGGCTTCAGAATTTCGGTTGAAGACAAGAGAATCCTGATACATGATACTGCACATCTTCCCAGGTGACGCAGCCCTGGGTCTCTACAGAGACCACGGAGGGTGGCAACATGCCTCCATCCCTTCCATCAGACAGTCTCTGCATCACTAGGCAAAATCTGGATGCTGCAATGAATGAAAGCCTGCAGACATTACACTGCTCATCAATATAGCTGTTTTTAGATGGTAAGTGTTCCTCAGGAACTGGAGGGACATCAGATGCCTATTAGCTTTTGGTAGAATTTCAAAATTTCAGCTTTTTATATGAGGCTAGTTATTTTACAGGAAAAATGAGGAAATCACTATCAGAATGGACTCTCAACCCAGAAATTCTCCTTTCTAAGCTGTCCAATGTACCTGATTTAATGCAATATACTACAATGCAGATAACTGAAAATACTTAAATAATTCATCCGAAAACTAATACTACCTAGTCGAAGAGGTTTAAATGACATCCCAGCTCTATTCATGGTTTTGGTCACATGAAAATAAAAGCCAATGTTTCAACAGTGAAGAATTAATTGAAGATGAATATGCTGTCAATTTGGAAAGTAATTTTTCCTTCCACTAGTTCGATCCCTGGGTCAGGAAGAGCCTCTGGAGAAGGGAATGGCAACACCACTCCAGTATTCTTGCCTGGAGAATCCCACGGACAGAGGAGCCTGGCGGGCTATAGTCCAAAAGAGTTGGATGTGACTGAGCGACTAAACAGCAACAGCAGCAGTAGACTCTGGTAAACTGACTTTCACCTAATAAAGTTCTATGGGAAAACCAGGGAGAATAGAGCGACCCTTGCTGTGTAACAGTTGTAAACCTGTGTATACCTAGACACTTTTCTTAAATCCTAAGCTCAATTTCCTTCATCTTAAAACAAGAAAGTCTTTAGCAAGATGATCCCTGAAGTCTTATCTTGTCTAATCTTTCATGATTTTTCCCAACATTTTCTCATTTTTTTTATTCCTTCAAGGGAATCAAGTATCTACAATGAGCATCATCTGATGTGAAAATAGAAAGGGTCTCACTTCTGTTGTCGTGAAAAACATGCCATGGAACATTTTCATATTTCAGAAAAAGTTTTTGATTGAAAGGCTTGGGTGGAGGCTTTCAGTTTCACTAAAAGCAATGCTGTTTGGACATCACTGGAGCAGTTTCAAGGGAAATTGGTTCATGGCGACAGCTCTTCCCCCAAGGTCCTTCACCAAGTCAAGGACCTGCAACAATCAGGCTTGTGTCCTGGAGGGCACAGATGCTCCAGCTCTGCACATCGCTGAGCTAGACCAGGTCAACTTATCACAGAGGAAGTGATGATTGGAGAATGGTCGTTTTTGTCCCTATCTTTTAGAAATACATCTTCAGCTTAGTCATACTGTGTAATTAATGGGTTATATTAGCATCATACACAACACTGAATGAGCCCCACAAAACTTAAAAGTTTTCAAGAATTACTTTGCAGGTCATCACCCAAGGTTTCCCTGGTGGCTCAGACAGTTTAAAAAAAAAAATCTGCCTACAATGTGGGAGACCTAGGTTCAGTCCCCAGGTTGGGAAGATCTCTTGGAGAAGGGAATGGCTACCTACTCCAGTACTCTTGCCTGGAGAATTCCGTGGACAGAGGAGTTGAGTGGGCTACAGTGCATAGGGTCACAGTGAGTCAGATACAACTGAGCAACTAACAGAACACAACTGGAAGAGGGAAATTCACACAAATTCAAACGTTTGCTGATTTAATTTAAAAAATCTTTCCAAACACTCCACTTGGAATTAGAAAATTCAACTAACCTTACAAAAAAGCACCCTCAAGAGCCAAAGTAGACCAGAAGCAAATGACTTCATTTTAATCAGTTCTTAGGGCTGTGAGTGGATGTGGTGAGATTGTCCAGACGCCTACCAGACCCTGCAGCACCAACCACCTGCTTCTCGGAGGGCGCTGTGTGTGTTCGCTCACGTGTCAGTTCCTATCATGAGGATATACACCGGGGGTCTACTTTCCTTCATCTCCTTCATGCCCATCACTGCTCTTGGCACATGATATGTCCAAAACACTGTTGAACAGATAAATGAAGGGGAAGCATTGGAAAACACTGCAGAGGGAATGACATAGAGGTTGTGCCAAGAATGTTTTTCTTGTTGCAAAGAAACAGAATTGCAGCCGTGACATTCTCCTGAGTGCACAGGGGAGTCTGGTGGGCATGACGGCTAAAAAGCTGCTCTCCAGTTGAAGAGGTGCCTCGTGGGCTGGAGTATCCCAGGCGTGTCACAGCCACAGCACATAGTCAGGGGTCACATTCAGGTTCCCAATCATTTCTGTCTGTTCTCAAGGATTCCTTCTATAAAACTCCTTAACTCCAGGGAGGCCACTGAGAGGAAAGGACACAAATGATTAAGTATTTGGAGAGTTGGTGAAGTCGAACAAACGCATACAAAAGGTTAACTGGAATTCAAAACCATTTCTAAATGCCTAACATGGCATTCGCTCCATGAGACTGAAGTCCCAAAAAGGGGACACAGTTAAACTAAGATCACAGGAGACGTTTGACAAAGAGGCAGGATCCCTAGATTTGTTACTTACCCTGACTAAACAGAATTTCATAATATTTTTCTCTTCATCCAAACCTTCATTCTCCAAATAGTATGACCTGATTGTACACAGTAGATTTGGGCGATCTCAATGTGGAAAACAGTATGGAGTTTCTTCAGAAAACTAAAAACAAGATCCAGCAATCCCACTGCTGGGCATACATCCAGTGTGCTGTGTGTGGTCTGTGTGTGTGGTGTGTGATTGAAGAGTGCAGAGCTGGGCAGTGAGGGGAAGTGCGCTGCCCCTGTGAACACTTACTGAGCCCCATGAAATTGCAAAGATCAAGAAGACAGGTTTTTGGGAGGGGGGATCGGGATGGGGAACACATGTAAATCCATGGCTGATTCGTGTAAAGGTATGGCAAAGACCACTACAATATTGTAAAGTAATTAGCCTCCAACTAATAAAAATAAATGGGGGAAAAAAAAAGAAGACAGGTTTCTATCCTAAAAGAATTCAGACATGAATTACAGGTTTCCTACCCCAGGGTGTATAGACTTCAGCACAACTGTGATGATGGAGATGTTGACGGGGACCATAACTACCATTCGAAGCATTTACCACTGACAACACTCTCTGTAATGTCCTCTGGCCCCTGTGACCCTCATGACCTCCCCCAGAGAGCGGCTTCATGGTCCAGTCTGCATCGTGCTGTGCCGCCCGTCCTGCAGAAGAGGGTCAAGTGGACGCTGTGCACTTTGCAACGTCCAGGTCGGCAGGACTGAAGGCCAGCCCAGCCTCACGCTCTGCTCTTACTGTGCAGATATTAAATGAGACCACAGGTGAACATCAGAAAGGAGGAGACCTTGAATGTGCGCTTGGCACAATGAAATGTTATGAACCACATGTGCAAGGCTTCTGACTTGTTTTGAAATCATTTTTTCAAAAATAGCTAAAAATGTCTAGTGACAATCAAGGAAAGAACAAAACAAGGAAAAGAATATTAGGCAAACAAAAAACCGAGTGAGTTTCTATGGTCTTTCCCTGCAGCATGTCCTTCACAGGAAATTGCATTTTAGGATCTTCTCAGGCAGAAAGACCCCCTTTGCAAAGCGCAGGGCTTTGTTGGGGTGGAGAACGGGTGTTACTGTAAGGACAATGCCCACCTGTGGTGAGTCCCTGCTGGGGTCGTGTGCCCACCCACCCTTCCAGGCGGCAGAGCTGTCCACCTCTTTCTGGCTTGACGCCGGTCACCTGCGGGGCCAGCTCTTCCCCGTCACCTCCTCCCTGTGAATCCCCAGCTCAGAGCATCCACTCCTGCCACTTTCCCCTCTGTGTTCCACCCATGCCTGCTGGGACCCCATCCTGCCCCCTCCTCTTGTCTGTAGAAAACCTTTAGTGTCTGAGGCCTTCCCTGAGTTCCAAAGAGCAAATTTAATCAAGTAAGAAAATGTAGAAATAAAGGAAAGCAGCCAAGCAAGATAAAGTGATAATAGTTTATCCCGAAAACAAAGCCAAGGGCCTTTAGTTCCTCCTCAAGGGCTGTAGACATTATCCTGAGCCATGTCCTTGAGCTGCTTTGAAGACAGTAAAACCCCCAGCAGGTGGAAAAGATAACTGCCTGCTGACCACCAGCACGTGGCCCTAGACCGGCTGGAACCAGAGGGTTGATGACAGATTCTGGACACACTACCCTGTTACCTCCCCACCAGTCAGGGGATCGTGTGTGAGCTGATCAGCCACCCTGCAACCAACGACCCTCACTTGGCCTTTAGAACCCTTCAGTCAAGGCCATCAGGGAGTTCAGATCTCTTGAACATGTGTTGCCCACTTTTCTTGCTTGGTGACTTGTAATAAATACTATGTGTGCATGCTAAGTCACTTCAGTCATGTCCAACTCTTTTCGACCCCATGGACTGTAGCCCGCCAGGCTCCTCTGACCATGGGATTCTCCAGGCAATAATACTGGAGTGGGTTGCCATGCCCTCCTCCAGAGGATCTTCCCAACCCAGGAATGGAATCCGAGTCTCTTAAGTCTCCTCCATTGACAGGTGGGTTCTTTACCACTAGTGCCACCTGGGAAGCCCAATAAATACTATACTTTTCTTAATAACAATCTGGTGTCACTAGACTGGCTCTGCTGTCCGTTGGGACCCAAGTTTGGTTCAGCAGCACACTGAACCTCTTTTAGAAAGAATCGTCAGAATTAACCATGTCACACCTCTAGAATTTGGAAAAAGCTAGAAGATGGATTCTCTTTGAGAGGCTTCAGAGAGAAATGCCACCCTACTGACACTTTGATTTTAGTTCAGTGAAAGCTGTGTAGGGATTCTGACCTACAGAACAGTAAGATTATATACCTACATGGCTTAAGCTGCTAAATACTTGGAAATGTGATATATCAGCAAGTGAATTCTAATACACGTGTGTGTGTAGGCTGCCAACATTGTTTCTAGCAAATAGAAAGGAGGTGTGGAGGATTGGGAACAGTGTCTCCTCAATGCAGTGAACATGGGACCCAGAAAACGGAGGCATTTTGAAAGCTGAACTTGGAAACAGCAGTATGACAAAGTGTAATTCAGCCTCACTGAGAAATATATTAACAGTGTCACGTTGCCATCTTCTATTCTTTTTCTGAAGTTGGATTTTTTCACTCCCCACTGAAGCTACTCTTACTAATCCCACTGACACAGTCCTCAGCAGAGCCGCTTCAAGAGCTGGGTTTTATGTAACTTCCTTTGCGCTGCAAGTGGGAGTTTTCTCTCCACCTTTTAGAAGCCATTTTATCTATGACCTTTTCCTATGATCCTCCACGTGGCCTGACCCTCTCTTTACAAAGGTCCCATGGGGCCACCTCCTCCTGGCCTACCCTCCACGGGGTGGCTTCACTGATATTTACCCTTGATCTTCTGGGTCTCTCATCAAACCTGCCAGTGATAACTCCTGAGTCCAGGTCCCTACCCAGACCCTCCCCCTGAGCTCCAGGCCTGTGCTTGTCAGCAGGCAGCCTGCAGGGATCAGAAGCGCTTTCACACTAACACTAGGACGGACTCTGCCTTTTTCAGTGTACTGATGTTTGTGCTGATGGAATGTCAGGATGGCAGGTGAAACCACAGGCTCCCAGCACCAATAATGCCCATGACATCCAGCCCCACTGGGGCCACCAGGCAGATGGAACGTAACACAAGGCCACTCCCCTCACTATAGTATATATATCTATACATGCATTTTTTTACAAACATGGTTATCTGGGTTAAAACACGCAATGAGTTAATTACTATTATTTTAATAAACTGATATAGATATTTAAACTTTTCTGTTTTAATTTCCAGTGCTGTAAATATGGACGGATACAATCCACAGAATGAAAAGCTCTCTGGGCCCTCACCGAGGTGAGAGACCTGCTCAAGGGCACATCCACGCTGCCCTGATGCATTGCAGCCTGCCTAGTGGTCCAGTTTTTTGTCAGTACATTAGAGCTGTTCATGAAGCCTGGAAATCCCCTTCTTGTATGTGTTTCCTTCATCACACAATCATGCCTTCAGCATCCCCTAAATGAACTATTGGACTGCAAAGAGATCAAACCATTCAATCCTAAAGGAAATAAATCCTAGATATTCATTGGAAGGACTGATGCTGAAGCTGAAACTCCAATACTTTGGCCACCTGATGTGAAGAGCTGACTCATTGGAAAAGACCTTGATGCTGAGAAAGGTTGAGGGCAGAAGGAAAAGTGGGCGACAGAGGATGAGATGGATGGATGACATCATCGACTCAATGGACATGAGTTTGAGTAAACTCTGGGAGATGGTGAAGGACAGGGAAGACTGGCGTGCTGCAGTCCATGGGGTCGCAAAGAGTCAGACACCCCGCAGCAACTGAACAACATGGTGAGTTACACACAAATGCTGTTCAAAACTGTGTGTTAACTGAATGGTAAAGAAGATCAATATCTGTGTTTGGACCACAAACTATGATTGATTAAGGTAATATAATCTTTCTGACTTAATAATTAAGAAACACTTTCCAGTAAAAGAGACAAACGACAATACATTATACATTCAGTACAAACCACTGCAGCATATTCTTTTGTTTGGCAATTATTCAAATGGTGTAACTTAAGACAATGAATCCTTCATCTGCCAATATTCTATATCTAGAGTGTAGCCTCTCTAGAAACAAATTCTTAGAATTTTATTCATTTTCTTTCCACTTCTCTGAATGAGGTAATTTCTTAAGAGACACTCTTCAAGAATTTTGTCTGGGTAAGAGACTATGATCTGCATGCTGTGATTAAGTAGGGTTTCAGAGGATAGAGTGGCCTTTGTTGTGTGTGAATGCCCTGATTTCAAGAGCGTACAAGCATCTCTTTTCACAGCCAGCCCCAAACAGTCAAATATGCTCAAACTGCATTCCACATAATAGTATCAAAGACAGGAGCAGCTTCAAGTGCGCCAGTTTAAGTTTCTTAAATGAGAACTTTACAACTTGATACTATAATCCTTGGGGCTCCCCTAGTAGTTCAGACAGTAAAGAATCTGCCTGCAGCATAGGAGACTTGGGTTCGAACCATGAATCGAGATAATCCCCTGGAGGAGACCATCGCAACATACTCCAGTATTTCTTCCTTGAGAATCTCAAGGACAGAGGAGCCTGGTGAGCCACCTTCCACATGGTCACAAAGAGTGGGACATGACTGAGCGGCTCACACTTTCACACCTTCACTGTACTCCCAGTGGCAGAAGGCAAGCACCCCCTCAGGATTACCTGTGAACACAGTGCCTCCGGCCTGTCCCTCACAAAGGCAGGATCATGAGTCTCAGAGATGCAGTTCATTTGGTAGACGCACTACGTTTCTGAACAAGAGGGAGGGACCCAGGCTGAAAAGGACTTAGAAACGCCATATCCTCCTCACTGCCGCTGTGCACCCCACGGTCATGCTTACTGATGGGCCAGGAAGACAGAAAGGGGCGTCACCACCCCGAATCCATCCAAAACCTACCAACAACATGAGAGGTTGTAGGTGTTAAGGGTAGGTCTGCAGGCAGAGATTCCCTTCTCCCTCACCCCATCAACATACCTGAGCGTGCTGGGTGAGTAGAGATGGTTCTGAACTCCCCCAGGTGCTGTGCTGGCCCTCAAGCCTGGGGACACAGGGTGGATGGGCAGGCAGACTGCATCAGGAGCCACTGCAAGGGGGTGAGTGTGAAACTGGGAGGAGAGACTCTGATCATCAAGGGGATGCTGCACCCCCCCCGCCAGGTTAATCTGTTGAAACCTAGCGATGGTGCTTGGAGGTGGGCGGTGATTGGGTCGTGACGGTAGAGCTTTGGGGAAAGGGATCAGCCTCTTATAAAGGAGGCTCCAGAGAGTTTCCCCCGCTGCCACGGGAAGGCACAGCAAGAAGACAGCTGCTTATGGATCTATAGGCTATCTCTAGCACTGGAGACTTTTCACACTTTTAAGTGATTTTTTTTTTTTTACTGTATCATTGAACATCACCTATACCTGTTCAGTCACTCAGTCGTGTCTGACTCTTTGCTAACCCATGGACTAGAGCCCACCTGGCTCCTTTGTCCAATTTTCCAGGCAAGAGTACTGGAGTGAAGTGCCATTTCCTTCTCCAGGGGATCTTCCTGACCCAGAGATCAGACCCATGCCTACTCTGTCTCCTGCACTGCAGGCAGATTCTTTACTGCTGAGCCACTGGGGAATTCACAAATAATATGCATAGTATGATCCAATTTTTCTAAAACTCTTTCTCCCTCCCTCCATCCCTTTTGTCTTTAGAGAGAGGTCTAGACTAATATTCAGATGCTGGCCCTTTTTTGATAATGGCTCTTTTTTGATAATAAAATTTTGGATGAATGCTTTCTTTCTTCTAATTTCTTGTAGCAATTTTGTGACGTTTTTATAAAAACAGTAGGTATGTATTCTTTTTTAAAATAGAGAAAGAGGAAAGGAAGCAGGAGAAGGAGGAAGAGAAGGGATAGGGAAGGGAAACCTCTGTGAATACAGGTACCAAATTTTCACCGATGTGATCCATTCATACTTCACATGACAGCTCCCAATGTGAATGAGACTAATTTAATGCAATAACTTGGCACTGTGTCCCTATATGTAGATAAATACTTTAAAAAATGCTGCAGTTAAGCTTTATTGAAACTAGCATACTCATAGATAAGAACACTTTGAGGAACAAATTTTATTTTCACTTTAAGAAAAGTGATCCAAATCATAGATTCCAGCTAGATTTCATGCAGAACACAAAGGTAGGGTGATTCAGAGTGACTACATTTGCTACAAAGTAAGTTAACATCACCTCTTAACTTGAGGTGGCTGGCTTTGCAAGTTTATTCATACTATGTGTATATATAATATTCATGCTAAATTTATAGGTGGTGAGACAAATTTTAGAGAAACAAGCTTTAGAGAAGAGTTGTAACATCATTTGGTATAAGAAGATCCTTGGTCAGCATTATTTATATAGCAAAGTTTAAACAATCACATTGGTAAAATAAAAATACAATATACATAGATTTTCTTCCTCATCCATATTATTAAGTTATCAGGTGATACTTAATTGAAAAATTTTAAACACAGTATAAGTTACATTTATCTCTTAGAGATAATAATGCAGTTAAAAATTAACAACCACACAGACAGACATGCACACATTTAAAGAGTAAGTTCAAAAATTCAGTGTAATGAGTTTTGAACCCTGTATTTATCTGTCTATAGTATAGGGGAACAACATGAAAGTATAGGTGCTCCTTTCCACCAAGTTATTTTATTTCATTCTCTAGAAGAAAAATGATAACCTCTGAAACTCCTACACGTAAGTTAATAAACTCCTTCACACTTCTGAAAGCTGACACATTTCTGTAGCTGTGGTCATATAAGAGTTGAACAGATATTTTATGAACTTGTTCAATGTAAGCAATAAAATCCAAATGATTAGGTCCCACAGAAGCAGATTTGTATGTTTCTTTCCACAGAACCACAGAAATTTAGACGTGTATCAACCTGATGGCTCACAACACCTTTGGGCACCTGTGAATATTAAAAAAAAAAAAAATGCCTAGGCTCCACCTCTAAAACCATTAAATCAGATGGTAGTTCTGAAAATGTGGTCCCTAGACCAGCAGCATCAATGTTAGCGAAGAGCTTTGTAGACGCGTAAATTGGGGATCAACGTGTAAATCCAGGCGATCAGAGGCTCAGTGACATTTGAGAACCGCTGTTCAAAGCTGAGGGCAGAGCATCAGGATTCTCTGGATCTCCCTGCTCACTCAAATAAGCTGTGTTTGTAGCTCTGACGTGTCTGACTCTTTGTGACCCCCATGGACTGTAGCCCGCCAGGTTCCTCTGTCCTTGGGATTCTCCAGGCCAGAATACTGGAGACGGTAGCCATTCCCTTCTTCAGGGGATCTTCCTGACCCAGGGATCAAACCCAGGTTTCTGGCATTGCAGGTGGATTCTTCACCCTTTGAACCACCAGGGAAGACCTGGGACTCATTCAACCAAATTCTTCTTTGACATGAGGGCACCAAAGACAGCGTTTCCAAGCAGACAGCAATTTACCAGCAGAATTCAACCAAATCTCAAGTCCCCTAACAGCCATCATCTTTTCTAGAACACTTCACAACTCTTTTCCTGACTTGGGCAGAGTTCAGGTGAGAAAGTGAAAGATGTGGTCACTGATATTCGAGGGATCTTTACATTTCTACCCCCCATTGTCAGATCTTCAATCGTTACAAGATACATGGCAGTAAACCATGATTCTTGGAAAACCAACCTATGGAAAGAAACACTGATGTATCCCTTCCCAGCTCATAAATATTCCTGAATTATAATCAGATTTTACTTTGAGAGAAGTATGAAGTTTCACTCTTTATCCACCCTAGACCTATTTGACTTCCCTGGTGGCTCAGAAGGTAAAGTGTCTGCCTACAATGCGGGAGACCCAGGTTCGATCCCTGGGTCGGGAAGATCCCCTGGAGAAGGAAATGGCAACCCACTCCAGTACCCTTGCCTGGAAAATCCCACGGATGGAGGAGCCTGGTGGGCTACAGTCTATGGGGTCACAAAAAGTCAGAAACAACTGGGCAACCTCATTTTTACTTTCACTTTCAGACCTATTTTGAAAAGATCAAAAACCCAGGCATGTGCTCACTCACTAAATGTCTTCCAGCACAAGTATCTCTATGAGGCCCCTGAGGCTGCGAAGATAACAGCACAGGATGCCTACGACACCCCTGGCCTCATTTCATGTTCACTGACCTGAGCTACAGGACTGACATTGGTTTTTAGCTACATCCACATACCAGCAATGGTCTGTTTAGAAGGAAAAGGACACTTCCATTTAAAACAATATTTTCTCATAGTCAAAGCTTGGTGACCCTGACAAAATGTACCCAAACCGCATGCTTATTCATTTTCCCCTTCAACAAGATGAGGAGATTTCTACTGGAAATCATCATGATTCCCACCTACTTCTTTCTTGGATCTTTGCCATTTCTAAATGGAGATCTTGTTTACCTGGACTTCCCTGATGAGGACAAAGAATCTGCCTGCAATGCAGGAGACACAGGTGACATGGGTTTGATCCCTGGGTTACGAAGAGCCTCTGGAGAAGGAAATGGCAACCCACTCCAGTATTCTTACCTGGGAACTCCACAGGGGCGCCATGGGGGTCACAAAAAGTGGACATGACTGAATGACTAAGCCCAACAACAACACCCTACAATGCTGAAGGACAAGACACCTGTTTACATTCTGGTCATTCTGTGTCCCAAAGTCCCAGCCAGGCTTCATCTTCACTCACAACAGATTAGGAAGTTCTAGTCCGAGGATGGTGGGATATCCTTAGACAGGTGGATGCATTTCGCCGCTGCAGCGGGTCAGGGGAGCAGGAGCCTGATGGAACGAGCCCAGGGGACCCGCTGCAGCCTCGGGCAGACAGCAGGAGTCCTCCCACCGTCTATTGAGTCAGAGCCTCTCAGACGTGACCAGGGCCACTCCCAGGAGACGAACTTATTTAGGGGCAGCCCCCAAAGAGGGCCCCCAGGCGGACCATGCCTGCAGACCAGCTCCCCGCCTTTGGTTCCAAGCAGAAATTGCTCACTCGTGCTCCCTAGAAAAGTGATGTGCTCTCCCTGCGTGCATTTCCGACGGTCTGCTGTTAAAGGGAGGAGTGTTAGCAAGGGAACCAGGAAGGAGTCATCAGACCAACAACAACAAAAATGAAGATGGGGGTAGGGCCCAAGCCACACCTGAACACCTCAGAGATGACCGAATTCAGACCATCCCGAGCACAGAAATGATGGGTGACTTTAAAACAGCAGGGAGAATGAGAAAGGACACGTCTGAGCTGCAGAAGCAGGGAATGACAGCCTCGTCAGACAGCCGACCTAGACATGGGGAGGGGAAATGGTCCCTGCGTGAGCGTTCTCCGGTTTCCACTGAAGCTTTGTGTGGAGAGCGGAAGGCAGAAGAAAGCACAGCCCCTCCAGTCAAACTCGGAGGGGGCCAGGGGCTGCTCCCCAGACGCCCCTCGACTCCCCCGCTCGGCCGGGAGGGCGGGACTCCCCAGGGCTGGAGGAGCGGGCTCCGGGGCCAACATTGGATGCGGCATGCTGTCCTGGAGTCTGCCGCTTACGCCCAAGCGTGACGAGCCCCGGGCTTCCTTTGCCAGTCAGCCCCGCGGGTGCCCCTCACCACCCAGACTCAAACTGTCCCCTCCAGGCTTACCGTCACTGCCTCCGCGGGCCTGGAGGTCGGCCCTCCACTGGCTCTGCTGCTGAAGGAGTGACAGACACACTCATAGGGCTGAGCTCACTCTCCACCAGTGCCAGCCAGGACTCCCGCATTGCGACCCACTGCAAGGCCGGTCAGCATGATAGCCCCAAACAAGCCAGTTGAAGGGAGAAAACAAGCCTAATGGATCCACAGTGGTCTTCAGAACACATAACTAGTTCTCATTTCAATAGGCAACACCCCAGAAAGCATCATTATGAACAAAGCTAGTGGATGTGATGGAATTCCAGTTGAGTTATTTCAAATCCTGAAAGATGATGCTGTGAAAGTGCTGTACTCAATATGCCAGCAAATTTGGAAAACTCAGCAGTGGCCACAGGACTGAAAAAGGTCCGTTTTCATTCCAATCCCTAAGAAAGGCAATGCCAAAGAATACTCAAACTACCACACAATTGTACTCATCTCACACGCTAGTAAAGTAATGCTCAAAATTCTCTAAGCCAGGCTTCAGCAATACGTGAACCGAGAACTTCCAGATGTTCAAGCTGGTTTTAGAAAAGGCAGAGGAACCAGAGATCAAATTGCCAATATCCACTGGATCATCGATAAAGCAAGAGAGTTCCAGAAAAACATCCATTTCTGTTCTATTGACTACACCAAAGCCTTCGACTGTGTGGATCACAATAAACTGTGGAAAATTCTGAAGGAGACGGGAATACCAGACCAACTGACCTGCCTCTTGAGAAATCTGTATGCAGGTCAGGAAGCAACAGTTAGAACTGGACATGGAACAACACACTGGTTCCAAATAGGAAAAGGAGTACGGCAAGGCTATATATTGTCACCCTGCTTATTTAACTTCCATGCAGAGTACATCAAGAGCAACACTGGGCTGGAAGAAGCACAAGCTGGAATTAAGGTTGCCGGGAGAAATATCAATAACCTCAGATATGCAGATGACACCACCTTTATGGCAGAAAGTGAGGAGGAACTGAAAAGCCTCTTGATGAAAGTAAAAGAGGAGAGTGAAAAAGTTGGCTTAAAGCTCAACATTCAGAAACCTAAGATCATGGCATCTGGTCCCATCACCTCATGGGAAATAGATGGGGAGACAGTGGAAACAGTGTCAAACTTTATTTTTGGGCTCCAAAATCACTGCAGATGGTGACTGCAGCCATGAAATTCAAAGACGCTTACTCCTTGGAAGGAAAGTTATGACCAAGCTAGACAGCATATTAATAAGCAGAGACATTACTTTGCCAACAAAGGTCCGTCTGGTCAAGGCTATGGTTTTTCCAGTGGTCATGTATGGATGTGAGAGTTGGACTGTGAAAAAAGCTGAGCGCCGAAAAATTGATGCTTTTGAACTGTGGTATTGGAGAAGACTCTTGAGAGTCCCTTGGACTGCAAGGAGATCCAGCCAGTCCATCCTAAAGGAGATCAGTCCTGGGTGTTCACTGGAAGGACTGATGCTGAAGCTGAAACTCCAATACTCTGGCCACCTGATGCAAAGAGTTGACTCATTGGAAAAGACCCTGATGCTGGGAGGGATTGGGGGCAGGAGGAGAAGGGGATGACAGAGGATGAGATGGCTGGATGGCATCACCAACTCGATGGGCATGAGTTTGAGTAAACTCCAGGAGTTTGTGATGGACAGAGAGGCCTGGAGTGCTGCGATTCATGGGGTCGCAAAGAGTCGGACACGACTGAGTGACTGAACTGAACTGATCTTCTGAAATAAGAACATGGTATCACAAAGAAAACCAACAGCATACTGCACAGTTCCTCCCAAGCCCTCGGGGGTCACCTTGCTGGTCACCACTACCTAAGAGTCTAAGAGTCTAAGTAGCAGAAGCCAGTTCCCATCAATTCCAGCAGCCAGTGGCCAGTGGCTTCTCTAAAATGTTGAGAACTGGGGGCACAGCCCCCAATTTCTTGAGCTTCTCAGAAAACTATTCCCCAGCAAAAAGAGTGGGACTTGCATACAAGCCTGCAATCCCACTCCAGGTGTAAATCCAGAGAAAACTCTTAATTCAAAAAGACCCATGCACCCCAGTGTTCACAGCAGCATTATTCAGAACAGCCAAGATATGAAAGAAACCTAAATGTCCTTCGACAGAGGAATGGATAAAGAAGATGTGGTACATACATACAGTGGAATACTGCTCAGTCATAAAAAAAAAAGGATGAAAAAATGCCATTTGCAGCCATATGCACAGATCTGGAGATTGTCATACTGAGTGAAGTCAGAGAAGGAGAAATGACAGCCCTTATATGCAAAATCTAAAAAGAAATGATTCAAATGAACTTACAAAACAGAAACAGACTCACAGACATACAAAACAAACTTACTGTGTGGCAGAAGCCAACACAGCATTGTAGAGCAATTGTCCTCCAATTAAAAAAAAAAACTACAGTTACCAAAGGGGAAGGGGCAGAAGGGATTGGGAGTTTGGGATTAAGAGATACACACACAATATATAAAATAGGTAGCCAACAAGGGCCTGCTGCACAGCACAGGGAATTCTATTCAATGTCTTATAATAAACCATAGTGGAAAAGAATCCGAAAAAGAATATGTATATATGTGTGTGTGTGTGTATAACTGAGTCTCTTTGCTATACACCAAAAACTAACACAATATTGCAAATCAACTATACTTCAATTTAAAAGAGACCAAAAAGGATGAAACTTTCTACCCCAAAGTGATACCAAAACCTTTAGCTACAAAATTGGCTCGTCATGAAACTGTGTGAAAACGGCAAACTTAGCCAACATTCACAGACCCAGAGACAAAGTTTGACCAATGGTATTTCACCACGTACACAGAAGTAGAGAGGTCACCCGCCACCTTCCCCACCCACTCCCCATCACTGAGGTGTCCCCACCACACCTGATGCCCCCGGGGCAGGACCCAGATCTCCGAGGCCTGGGAACAGCTGTGGGAGGGCCCTGACCATAAGCGCAGGACCCAGCAGAGGGGCTGTGCCGAGTCCTGCTGCCGTTCCTGGAGACCTCACCAAATGAGCAGACCTGCCCACGGCCGAATATCAGGTTCAGAGGGCGGAGCGCATGCACCGGCCACTCACACCCACAGAGAAAAAGAAACCCCCATCAGAGCCATACAGTGCTCTCACAGGAAAATAAACAGAGGCCCCAGAGCTATGCAGACAATGTCTGGCAGGCTCCCCTGCACACGCCTGCCTGACGTACACCCAGCCCACACCAGGGATGCTGAAGTTTTTATGTGGTTCTAAAGGCTCAATTTTCCATTTTTAAAAAGGAAATATTAAAATATAGCATAAATTAAGTCCCTTTTGCAATTTTTTTCTTTCTAAGATAACAAGTCACCATCGGCATTTTAGGCTACCTACTCTAACTATGTGGAAATTTTTTAAATCAATACACCGTTAGATAAACAAGTCATTAACATCTGCTTGACAAATAACTTAATATGCAACATTTTTTGATGACCCAGAAGAACATGACTATCTTACAGAGAAAACCACTTACAAACTTAAAGTCAGGAAGATATTTGCATCAGTGCCGCTGGAAGTTGACAGATTTTAGGTAAGTTTCCAGAAGTAGCGACTTTGATCTCTTGATTCAGTTTATATGACTATGTGGTTCTTATACACATGTAATAAATTATTCAGCAAGAACATGACAAAGCTGTATAATACATTGCTTTCCTTGATGTAAGGCTGCTTCAAGCATAAGCACTGAGGATCGTATGGCATCTGTGGAAAAAGAAGGGATCCTTTCCCGCCCAGAATCTGACCTTGGATATCAGTTAACGTCTAGGAATTATTTCTGCACCATTTCAATGTATCTGAGACATCAAGCAAATGCAATTATCCTCAGGATCACAATTTGAAGTTGAGTCACAAGAAGCTTTTAGCCTTGCATGAGTCACGCAGTTCAGACATCTCTCCACAGATACGCCTGGGGTGATGGGAGAATTTTACTGTGGTTTATGTCAGAGTGAGGAACTCTGGATCTGAGCAAGTTAGGATGGGAGCACACAGGGCTTGGAGATGCAGAGGAGAGGGGAACAATGGTGTGATCCCCAGTGTGTGCAGTAAAACAGTTCCATTTACAACAAAACGATTTCCTTAAGATACTCAGAAATGGGCTCAGCCCCCGCACTGCTGAGCATATACATGGTCAGAGCAGCAGAGAGACTCTATCTCAGCAGCTCCTGAGGAGACAGGACAAGACCAGCTCCTCAACCGCACCCCCATATTCATCAGTAAGGAACCGAAATCATGGCTTATGCATATGAAAGTCAGTATGCCTGCTATTTAAATATTCCAGAGCCATCTCCCCATGAGAAAGCAAAAGGCCCAGAAAAATAACAGCTGCCTTAGGCCACTAGGGCAGCCAAGTCTAAGGAGAAAGCATCATTTTTCTTTGAAGTTCACAGAAAAACAAGGTTTACCCAGCATCCGGACTTCAAAGGCACACCGGGGAAGTGTATCTCCTTTAGCCCAGCTGCTAGTAGTGAGGGGAAACAGAGTGGGGCTGGGGGCGCTGGGTTATTCAGTGAAGAAAGGATGGGGCCTCTGAATAGGTCCCCATTAATTACATATGATTACAAGGGTGCCCCAAGAAGTACTTGGTCTGCAGATGCAATACAAGTTCTTCTGGAACCCCTCACTCAGGAAACTGTACGCAGTTTTACATCTTTGCAGACATCTGTTACCAACAAAACTCATTAAAGGAAGAGACAACCTAAACTCTGAACAAGAAGAATTGATTAGAATGACGATGGACAGAAGAAGAGCCCACCTGCCTATAAAATGAAGCAATCCGCGTTTACACTGGGCACTCTTGGGTTCTGCAAGTCAGTGATGACAGCATCAGGAAGTGACCAAGGTGTGACAAGGGTAAATACATTGTGTCCAAGCACATTCTCAGCACTTCCCCGAATAGAGCAGCAGTGGCGACTGTGTTTGTTTCAACGCTTCATTTGTGTGCGTGGGAATGGGAAGGGGAACAGTGCAGGGAACCACTGCCACGCAAGCAAGAGCAAAGAGCCCCTCTTTGTGCAGCCGCGTGAATCCACACACACAAAAGCTGTCCTGACATTTGCAATGGCAGCTTCCTGTTTTGCAAAACACATGAGGTATTGTCATCAGAATAAAATGTTTCTGCTGCGATATTTGAATAAAGTGCTAAAATTGTGCGAAGGAATTTTGTTCTTAAAAATACTCACATAGGTGTATGTACAATTTTTCCCCTGGCCATCAAACTTGAAAAGTCATGATTTTCCATCCTCTCTGACAATTTTCTCCTCTTCTGTCCAGAGAACTATTTATAACATGGCAAATGTAAATACTGTTAGCTGGAGGAATATAGTTAGTAAAATAAATTCACAAACTAGAGAAGCTAACATGCAAAACTTACATCGAGTTGATCTTTTTGATCCAAAATTTGATATTTCACATGAAGTCCTCATATGACGCAGGTATGCATTACACAAAATTCTTTTTAAAAAAATTTTCTTGCTTTTGTATCATCCTAATATATATCAGTCTTGCAGTCTGAAAATTATTTACTAATATAGAATCATTTCACCTTTTCATACCGTTTTCTCATTATTAAATATGAAACTGTCACAAAAGCTAACATTTGAAACTGTTATGATGATTTGAACCCCAAATTAAAATTTCTAGAGGGAATGATATTTGGGATAAATATGCATTAGACATCATTACAAATTTGATGAAAAAAGCATTTGTTTGTACATAATATGCCCAGCTATGTCCAACCATTAAATTGTTTTTTCAAAGTTTATCTGAACCAGACATTTTACTACGCTTACTAACTTTTCTCACATGGCATGACCATTATCTCATGTGACTTATAATTCATAGAAATTATTCTGAGTTTATAGAAATTACTTTCTGTACATCATCTTCACTGACATTTTAAAAATTCTCCTTTTGAGTAGATTCAAGGTATAGCTAATACATTAAAATATATATATGTGTGTGTCGATATATATATATGTAAATTTTTAACATCCAGTTTCATTCTCAGAAACTCGTTCACAGCTTCCACCATGAGAATAGTCACAGGTGGTGGTTTTCCCTGATTTTTTGGTCATCTCAAAGAAGACTAAGTTCACAGCGTAGTTTGTCACTGACATCTCAACGAAGACTAAGTTCACAGCGTAGTTTGTCAGCTGACACCCCAGGGTCATGCTGCAACCCCTGCTGACCACCTGAGATAAGCTTAAAAGACCTCATTACTGCAGATGGACACAGCACTTTGCAGAAGCCCAATGCACTGTTTACAACTGGGAGCAGATGCAGCAAATGTGCAAATAAGCTTATTTCTATCAAATATATATGTCTCAATATAAATGTCCACAAAAATAAAACTCAGGATCAAGTGTCCATAATAGTATCTGAAACACATACAGTTTCAATATTACCCCGATCTTAAATTTGAAGAACTAAAGCACAAATGTGTTTTCTAATTAAATTTACTTCAAGATGTAGATCACAAATATTCCTGACCACCTTGATAGGCCCTTCTTCCTTATCTTACAAAGAATACAAATCTAGAGAGTCCTATTATAGACTCTTTACAGTCTTTAAATAAAGTTTCTTGAGAAACTTTCATTTCTTAAGATGTATAAAACTATATTATTATCTTTTTCTTATGGAATAGAATTTAGAAATAAAATAAAATTTAGAAATGGCCTTCACTAGACCTAGGGATTTTCTAGGCAGATCGAAGTACTTTTTAAACACAAGTGGAATTCAAACAATATAATATGAATTGTTGTTAAGATAGCAAGTTACTGCCTTGCTTAACACCCCAATGTATTTCTCTGTGTCTGGTCCACATGCATGCAAATACCACACTTTTAAATAATACTCTTTTTTCACACGTGAGTACAATTGGTTGATGGTGGGGTGTCTAGTCGACTTTTATTTTCTTTAGTGTCATTAAGAGGTGACTCCTTGCGGGCATGGCACTTGAACACTTGCTTATAAGCCTTCCTGAAGTTTTCAGAGAGAAAGGCATAAATGATGGGGTTCACGGAGGAGTTGCTGTAGGCCAGGCAGTGGGCAGTGATCCTGAAGAAGAAGGAGGCGGGGGTCAGCGGGAACACCCCAAACTCAGCCCAGAGATGGATGACGTGGTGGGGCAGCCAGGAGACCCCGAAGACCACCACCACCACCAGCACCGTCTGCGCAGTCTAGGAGAAGGGAAGAAAGCAGAGGCGCTGGTCACAACAGACAGGAACCCAGCATTCCAGCTCATGCACTGACAGAGGGAACTTTCTGTGCATTTTCACAGAATCAAGTGCATCCTAAACCTGCTCTGGGCACTGGTCTTCACCTCGCAGTCACACCCCTAAAGGAGCTATAAGCATGGCCCAGTGGCCCCCTGTCCACTTTGCCCCTGGAGAAACCTGATCCCACTGGGATCCATGAATTCAGGGAGGGAGGGTGGAGGGGAAGGAGAGAGAGAAGGAAGGTGCTTATTTTCCCTGCAGCTTCACACCGTGGAGCAGGGACTCCCCAACCAGGAGACAGTTGTGGGCCCACAGGTCTTTTCACAGGAAACGCCTGGCCCCCACCCTGCAGGAATGTTCTCATGTGACGCAATGACTTTGCTATTACTTCCCGTGAGTTAGAATCCAGCTGTCACAGCCCATAGCGCCCAGAACATGAGGCTTAAGATAGCAGTCTTCCAGGAAAGACACGGGGTAGCCGACTGACTCGGAGAGGAAGCTTGTCCAAGAGGCAGGCTGGAAGCCAGGGAACCTGGCAGAGGTGGGAGAGGAGCCGCTCGGACTTCAGGATGAGGTCAGAGCAAGGGTGGTCAGGGCGCCGGAGACGGGAGTTACGCTCATGTTTACTATGACCACGCGGGTGCTCAGAAGGTGCCACGAGCCACAAAAAAGCCGAGGGTTTGATGACCTTTGAAAAATGAGGCCAGCTTCCCTTGTGGCTCAGATGGTAAAGAATCCACCTACAATGTTGAAAAATGAGGCCACCTCCCTGTGCCTCAGCCTCCTGGCCTGTGACTGGGGCGACCCAACATGATGTTTCTCTGAGTGGACCTGGTCCACTTAACACCAAACAACTCAGGTACAAAGCTGACCGCAGGGTTTCCAGGGCAGCAGCGTTACAGACTGAGGCTGCCGTGTGCCCGACGCACGGCAGACCAGCGCCCCGCTCCCTAGGCCAAGGACCGTCTGCTGTCCGTCCGTTTACCCAGCAGTGTATGGGCTGTGCTCCTGATGAGTCAATAACCATCTAGACGCAGTCACACCTGCAAAGAGCACGGAGCACACCCGCTGTCCTCCCTAAGACAGGAAGGCCATCTCTGCATGGCACAGAACACATGCTCTCTGGGTATTCTGTTTCACTGCTGCTTTCACGAGGTTTTTCACTTAGGAACAAGTGGAGGGCAGAACTACACCCCGACAGCGTACAGATGAGAGCCTCACTGTATGTGTATCCCTGTAGGGCGACGGTCAGCAGGGTGTCTTTTCTATGGAGGGTTTGTTACTGTGTGTATTTACCCAAGTTCACTCAAAATCTGCCTTTTCTTTTTAGCAGGTCTACTGGTCTTTTCAGAACCATGAACGGGGTTCCTTTCCTTGGTCTGCCTGTAGCTTTGGAATGTGAGTGCCTTAAGATTACAATATAATAATATTGTAAGAATATCAATGGGTACTTACATAAACTTTATCATTTATCAAATGATGCTCCCAAAAGAATTTAACAGAATGCTTGTTTAATACAATGTTTATGCTCCCAGTTATGTGTCAACAAAGGTTCACTATTTATTTTCTGCCTATTTCACAGGCATCTCAGCCCATCCGAGCTGGTACGGGAGTGGGCGCCCTGCACACAGGCCCTGGCGCTCAGCCCTGCTCCCCAGTGGCCTCCACACCAACTACAGCATCACATTAGGGGAGCGCATCAAGGTGCCCAGGGAGAGACGTGCGTGGCTCCCTCCTGTGTCTCCCTCACGTCAGAGGACCAGGACCAGGGAACTGGGAAAACATCCACCCACAGAACAGCACCCTCACCTACCCCCAACGCAGAAAACATGCACCTGGAACATACGAGTTCAAGGTCAAGATCTGGTCAAAATAACTCACTGTACTAACAAAATAATGGCTGAGCACCGAAGAATTGATACTTTTCAACTGTGGTGCCGGAGAAGATTCTTGAGAGTCCCTTGGACTGTAAGGAGATCCAACCAGTCCATCATAAAGTCCTGAATATTCATTGGAAGGACTGATGTTGAAGCAGAAGCTCCAAAACTTTGGCCACCTGATGCAAAGAACTGACTCATCGGAAAAGACCCTGATGCTGGGAAAGATTGAGGGCAGGAGGAGAAGGGGATGACAGAGGATGAGATGGCTGGATGGCATCACCGACTCAATGGACATGAGTTTGGTGATGGACAGGGAGGCCTGGCGTGCTGCAGTCCATGGGGTCGCAAAGAGTCAGACAGGACTGAGCGACTGTATCTGGGTTTTCAGCGAGCCATCATCACACAGCACTTCAGGTATTGGGGTCTCATGTTTCCACAGGTCGTTCGGATGACGTACCCGCCCAGGAACCTGCCTTCCTGCATAGCTCATGAGTGCTTAAAGAATCAGTGAAGAATTCCACAGAAGCCATAACAAAAGCAAGCGGCCTTGCCCCCATTAAGGGGGCGGAGGTGCTTCTTTGGTGCTAACTGCACCTGGGCTGACCCACACCATCTCCTCTGAAAGGTTCCCCTTAGAAAAGTCAGTCAGTCAAGTGCTCGGGCCTGGTGCACTGGGAAGACCCAGAGGGATCGGGTGGAGAGGGAGGTGGGAGGGGGGACCGGGATGGGGAATACATGTAAATCCATGGCTAATTCATTTCAATGTATGACAAAAACCACTGCAATGATGTAAAGTAATTAGCCTCCAACTAATAAAAATAAATAGGGAAAAAAAAAAAAAAGAACAGCATAGCTCAAAAAAAAAAAAAAAGAAAAAGAAAAGTCAGTCAGTGAGGAGACGAGGCCCTCTGTGGGGATGGGGGCCATTTTCATTTCTTACAGTATCATTTGCCTGAACCACAGATGGATTTACACCCAACGTATTGCCTACGTTCCCCGTCTGTCCATGTGTGGTACAGAACCACACCATCACCGTTTGATAGAGAATAAGTCCTTGTTGAAAGTTATGTGCCAAGCCGCTGCATGAATTCTTATACCTAAGGTTGGGCCTTTTATTAGCCTGCCTTCTTTTTACTTCTTGCACTGAAAGTATCTGAAAAATAGTAATTTCTCCTCTTCCTGTGAGATGCTCTTTTTCAAGCCATCTGAGACATCTGATTTTTTTTCCTTCAAAGAATTTTACACATAATCCATCTAATGGAACTTGGCAGGGAAGGAAAAAGTGAGTAAATGATGAGACTGATGAGAAACATTTTGTAAATTGTACAAATGACAGCCAAAAACTTGCTGAGTTACTCCAAGCCAGATGGGGTAGAAGAGCCGCTGTCAAAAGAATCTCGTGGTTAAGAAGGTACCATGAGGGTCTCGCATCTACCTCCCTATTACCAGGAACCATCCTGGAGAAGGCTAACCCACTGGGAAGTCTTCCAGAAATTGTTAGGAATCTTGTTTTCCTATCTGATCAACCTTGTGCCAGAAAACATTTCTTTAGGTCCAGCCGAGCCTAGTGTTAATCAAGGCCCGGCTCTGTACTGTGATCACTACTATTTTGGCAAAGGAAAGCACACTCTTCTCTATTTTCCTCCAAACAGGCAGGATAGCTGTTGAGCACGTTTGTGTTGAACCTAACCCTCCACCCCAGGAGCGCTACCAGCCTTCACATGAAGTGGAGCCCTTATGGATGGACAGGAGAAGGGGAAGGGGCCCTACGCAGCCACCGAGGCGGGGAGCCTGAAACAGGCACAACTGAAATGAATAAACCTCCAAGATCTTCTCGCATCACCCCATGATCCATCAGAAACTGAGCGTGTGCACACCCAGGAACACTCTTCTCTGCCAGGACCCAGGGCAGCATCAGCTGAGCCGATCCAACCTCCACCTCTGGGTGAAGGAGCTCTGGCTCTCCACCCTGGGCCCTCCCCTCCTCTGCCCCTGTCTCCCCGTTCCGTCTTCCTACTCTACTCCCCACACCTGTCTGCTAGCCCTGGCCTGGACGCAGGTACATGCACATACACAAACCATTTGTTCTGTGCAAACAAGGAGGTAATTAAAAACATCAAAAGAGATCTGACATCTGTTCAGTGGTTATTAAGGGTCAGAGGTTGTGAGAATAGAAGAGAAAATCTTCCCTCCTCCAAATGCTGAGACCTTCTCCCCCTCAGATCATATCCTGGAGAAGGCAATGGCAACCCACTCCAGTACTCTTGCCTGGAAAATCCCATGGACGGAGGAGCCTGGTAGGCTACAGTCCATGGGTCGTGAAGAGTCTGACACGACTGAGCGACTTCACTTTCACTTTCCCTTGGGAAGAATTGCATTTATATATATATGTTCCCTTTGGAGAAGGAAATGGCAACCCACTCCAGCATTCTTGCCTGGAGAATCCCATGGACAGAGGAGCCTGGCAGGCTGTAGTCCATGGGTCACAAGAGTCGGACACAACTTAGCTACTAAACCACCAACGTTTAGTTCCCTGGAGGCTCAGCTGGTAAAGAGTCTGCCTGCAATGCAGAAGACCTGGGTTCGACCCCTGCATTGGGAAGATCCCCTGGAGGAGGGCATGGCAACCCACTCCAGTATTCTTGCCTGGAGAATCCCATGGACTGAGAAGCCTGGCGGGCAACAGTCCGTGAAGTCACAAAGAGTCGGAAATGACTGAGCAACTAACACAACAACAATACACATGCCTCATACACACACACACACCCATATGTACACATACACGTATAAAGCCAAACAATGTAAATGTTAAAATGCTCACTAATCTTTCAGTTCAGTTCAGTCACTTAGTCGTGTCAAACTCTTTGTGACTCTAGGGACTGCAGCCCACCAGGCTCCTCTCTCCATGGGATTTTCCAGGCAAAAATACTGGAGTAGGTTGTCATTTCCTTCTCCAGGATATGATCTGAGTAAGAGGTAAATTAATCCTGATTTGTAAAATAGCTTGTCCTCAAAATGGGTTTGAAATATAATAAATTGCAGGATGTTAGATGCTGTCAAACCCTTCAGAGGAAGCTTGTGGGAATCGGGATTCCAGGGAGAAGGACAAAGACAATTAAAGATGGGCTGGACTCCCCTCAGGCCCCTCCCATCAGTTCTGCCCCCAGGGGACCAAGTCAGCACTTTTCTGGGAGGAAGAGAGCAGAGCAGAGCAACTGCTTTGAGGCTTCAGGGAGGGATACAGCAATACTCGCTCGAAAGATAATTAAGACGGGCCTCCTGGGACCACATCAGAGACAGTAAATACACAATAAAAGAAGCGTGTCTGCTGAGTCGCTTTAATCGTGTCTCTGAGACTCCATGGACTGTAGCCGGCCAGGCTCCTCTGTCCACGGGGTTCTGCAGGCAAGAGTACTGGAGAGGTTGCTGTGCCCTCCTCAAGGGAACCCCCCAAACCAGGAATGGAACTCGGGACTCCTGCACTTGCAGGTGGGTTCTTTATCATGAGCACCACCTGCAGTTTCAAGCAAAGTGTGGGTCCAGCCACCTGACACCCTATGCCAGTCACCTACAGCGCACCTTCTCCAGAGGCTCAGAATCCAGAAGAGACACCTTTCGGCCCCTCCCCAGGCCTCCACCCACGTTCTCTGGCAGCTCAGTCACCTGCCCACTCTCAGCAGCTCAGATCTCTCCATGTCTCCTCTCTCCCCAGGGCTAAGGTGTTCTCTGAACCCAGGAACCAAAATTTCACAGGAGGATGCAGGAGAGTCAAGACTATACATTAAACCAAGCTCCAGAAATGGCACAGAGAATGTAAACCCAGGAGTTTTACCTTTTTCTTCGACGCCTCTGACTTCTTTGACACGTTCTTCAACTTTTTATGCAAATGGTTAAGGACCTGAAAAACACAGACTAATAAAATCGGTTTGCCTCAGAATTGCAAAATTCATTGTCCATTTTGCATTGACATTTCCTGATTTCTGAAAAGGGAAGACCATGGTTTACAAAGTCATGCAAGCTGAAATTCACAGGAGCTGGTGGAATAATGACGACCATGGATTGCCATGGACGTCCGGTCTTCTAGCCACCTGTGTCCAGAGCACCCGTCGGCAGAGCTCTGGTGCAGGGAGCTCCGAGGTTTCCTCCAGAAAGACCCACTCTGCTGCCCACACCTACATCCCCGCTGGCCTCCCTGCCACCTGGTTTCCCCTAAGACTCTACCTTTCCACAATCCCAGGTCCCTGCTATATGCTAAATCCTAGATGCGTAGAAAGACTGCAGACTGCCTTCCAACAACAATGATGGCTGACAGACCACCATTCTGCATGGTTCCATGACTACTGTCCCACCAGGGAGGCTTCCAGGGAGACACTTGCTTCCTTCCTTAGAGACACCAGTTTTGTCTTCTCCTGCCAGCATCATACTCAGGAGAAAAGATGTGAGACACTGTGGTTCCACATAAGAGTTTGCAATGCAAGCTGTACAACAGGGTCAGGATGGCGGTACACACACCAGGCAGGTCTTGAGTTCATTCTTATGTCCCATCTGAGTGAAAAACCTAAGGAAAATCAGCTCAGGGCAACTAAGGGCTTGAGACTGCCCGTCAATTGCTCAGTGAGTCCCCCCCAAACAGTGGAAACAGTGTTCCAGCCATCTCCCTGTCCCCCTGGAGCACCACAGCATGGAAATAATTTAATCAGATTGAACTAGCATTACGAAAGCTACTCTGTCTGGGCGGATGCAACACTCTGGAGTCATCAGTCACTCCCTGATGGAAAAGCCGCAGGATTTATCCACCACTTCACGATTCCCTGGGCTTCCCTGGTAGCTCAGACGGTAAAGAATCTGCCTGCAATGGGTTCCATGCCTGGGTCGGGAAGACCCCCTGGAGAAGGCCATGGCACCCCACTTCAGTATTCTTGCCTGGAGAATCCCATGGACAGAGGAGCCTGGTGGGCTACAGTCCCTGGAGTCACAGAGGCAGACACGACTGAGCGACTAACACTTTCACTTCACTTTCACGATTCCCTACCCTGGTCAAGCAGCTGTCGTGGGGTGTGAATTTCTGACTCCAAACTCCCAGCTCTACCGAAATGCTGCTCACTTCCCACAAGGGCTCAGCATCCTCCACAAGACAAGCCTCTCTCTCACTACGGGGACATCTGCGGTCACTCTCAGTACAGCGACAACGGGTCCGTCTACTGTCCTGCCGTCAGCAACTGGGGTATTAAAAATGTAATGGAAGACAACAACAGAGGGGAGGCTTGTGCAGGAACAAATGAAGAGGACTTTCGAGAGGAAGGAACGGGCTGGACAGGGCCCCTCCCGGAGAAGACCAGCCTGGCCAGGTTCCTTGTGGACAGCCTCCCCACCGCCAGAGGAGGACCCCGCTCACTGAAAGAAAGGGAGAGATGGCAAGGCAGCGTCAGCGAGGGCTGCCTGGAGAGGACCCCACGGGGAAAAGACAGATGTTACCTGCTACGGTGCACGGCCTGGGGCCACTCAGCCCTTCCACAGAGTCGGGGGCCACATCTCATAACTAGGAACGCCTAAGGGATGTCGCAGAGTGGCCCACAGGGGAACGCCCAACTGGGTTTCTCCTGGCTCTGCTCCACTTCATGAGCACACACTACGGGCCCACACGGGCGTGTGACGGACCCCATGAAGGTCTCGCCATCAAAGGAGAAAGGGTTAGGACTGCGTTTCTCTGGAAGCTGATGACAGTGGTGAGTGGACACTTCTCCGTCACTCGTACTTTCACAAGTGTGCACAGGAGGCCTACACCCGTCCTGGCACAGGACATCTCCAGGAATGTGGAGGAAATGGGCAGGTCACGAGTTCATCTTGTGTCAGGCCAAGGAGGGCCCAGGACAAGCACTGCCCTGAGGAAGAGTGAGCCAGCCCCCCAGCAGCAGAGGGCGCCCCAGAGTCATCCTCCAGCCTGGCATTCTGGGTCTCCAGGGAGGGCACGTGCAAAGGACCTTCCACTAAACTGTCAGTGCAGAAGGCAACTCTGGAATGCAATTCCTTTCGTTAACTTAAAAAACAACACTGTGATTTTATATGTCTTTTGATCTGGGCCTTGGGTAACAATCAATCCCGAATGTAACATTTAAGTAGCAAAACCCTTCCATGCAAAGTACACAGTGACTGAATCAAAGGACAGCAACTGAAGTCTTTAATCTTTACCTTTTTTCAAGCCCTAGAATGAATATGCAAATATTACTTTGAGTTTCAAAGGAATTTCCAGTTATGCTTAAAAGCAAACTATTTCCATATTTTAAGAAAAGCCCAATGATCATGTATTTTCTGAATTTTTTAATTTAAAAACTTCGCCTTAGGTGTGACTTTTATAAAGTCTCAAATGACAGAAATGTAGGCTGGTTCCTTCCTAGAAGTTTATCTTGTTGTTTCCATTAAAAAGACCTGAATTTCCAAAAGACCAGACTTTTGGGAAACAAAGGAAGAATATGCTTCAAGAATAATCCATGTAATGATGAAAGAAAAGCCAAACACTTAAAGAATCTCTCTAATCTCAAAGCCTATGCCCCACAGGCCCACCTCCCCCAGGGGGCTAGGAAGCCCTGCATGGAAATCCTTCCTGAATGCTTTACCAGCTCTGCAATCACTGCCTCACAATCAGCGGCTTCACTCCTCCAAAACCCTCCTTCCTTATCAATAAAATATGCACAGTGGCTCCAACCCACTGGGTCGCCTGCAGATCAAGTGACGGAGTGCACACAGGAGACCACGGCCCTGGGCAGACCAAGCTTTGATTTGCTTTTGCCAGAAGCAAGGGGAATAAACCAGCCATTTATCAAAGAGCTACGCTCCAGTGAATCCCGATTTCCTGCCTTTACTGCCTCTTTATGCACAACCCTTCGGTGCAGGACATTCTTTCAGATCATATCCAAAAACATTACCGTTCAAAATAGACACTGCTCTAGATAGATGGCCTGGAGGAGGGGCAAACAAAACCAGGTGGCTCATAGTCCACATTTCTGCTGGGGGAAACAAACTGTGAGTGGAACATAAGAACTGATTGCTGTTCTACTTCACCTGATGAGTCCTAGAGTCACAAGCTTATCAGAAAGAAACTGAGAGAGAGAGAGAGAGAAGATAAAATGGTGCAGATCTCAGAATTCGGTCACAGAAGTATTTCTCTAGTGGCGATGGTACTGGGGAGGGTGTGTCAGGGAGAGGGGGTCTCACCCCATCCACTGCATCTCCTGATTATAAAGCAGATATTGTGGCTCAGACAGCAAATAATATGTGCTCCCTAAAATGTGGAAGACCCATGTCTGATCCCTAGGTAGGGAAGATCCCCTGGAAAAGGGAATGGCTACTCACTCCAGTATTCATGCCTGGAGAATTCTATGGACAGAGGAGCTTGACCAGCTACAGTTCATGGGGTTGCAGAGTCAGATGTGACTGAGTGACTAACACACACAAACAAGTTGTGTAAAAGGTGTAAGGCTTTTAGATCAGTATACAACCTGCAACACCATGTGTTATTAATGAAAGAGAACATGACTGTGCTGAGCTGGGGGGAAGGGCACTGCACAGAGAGGAGTTGCGGGGTAGGGGGACCAGAGATGTGCCAGCTGTGTGTCTCCCAGCTGAGGCTTTAGACCTGCCACCTGAACCACTTAATATTCTTTACCTCCTCCTCAAAGGACTGAAGTGAGGAAATGGCAGCTGCAAACCCATCCATCCAACGTTCTCTGGAGAATCCGTGAGGAAATATTTCTGACCACTTGGATTTATGACGCCTAACTTGTGTTGTGAAATAAAATTCAAAGCTCTGTCGCCAGGAGCAGCGGTTTCAGAAAGCCGGTCCTGGCCGGCGCCCCAGCCCCGTGCACCCTACAGGCAGGGAAATCCCCCCACCGGACCCCAGTTGAGGGCTGCGGAGGGGCGCGGACCCTCCACCCAGCAAAAGGACTCGCTCGGCAGGACCGGGCGCTCGCGTAACGCTGCGGGCCACGCAGGCGATCAAATGCAGGCTGAGCGGGCTACGTGGCTAAAACCTCCTAAGAAGTGGGCGTTGAACCCCGCCTCCTGTGGGGACAACCTCAGGGCCAAGGGCTTGCGGGGGCCGGGACGGACGCCCGGACCTGCAAACTTTCCTGGTGTCGCCCAAACTCCAAGCAATTTTCGCACAAGCCCAAGCCGCTGCCGGAGGAGGCGATGGCTCGGGCAGAAAACTCGCGGGGGACGAGGGCAAGGGGGCGGGGCCCTGGAGGGGTGCGGGGACAGAGGAGCCGCCCCGGGCCCGCGGACCCGCCCCGCGCCCCGCACCTTGGCGTAACAGAAGCAGATGAGCAGGAGCGGCAGCAGGTAGCCGAAGACGAAAGTGCACACCACGTAGGCCTTCTTGTGGCGCTGGTTGGGCCACTGCTCCCAGCAGAAGGTCTGATTGCTGACGTCCCGGTGGAAGAGGCGCTGGTGGTAGGCCACCGGCGAGGCCATGGCGATGGACAGCGCCCAGATGAAGCCCACGCCCAGCAGCGCGTTGCGGGACACCCGCAGGGCGGAGGAGCGGCGCGAGTGCACGATGGCCACATAGCGGTCCACCGACATCGCGGCCAGGGTGAAGATGCTGACCAGCATGGAAACGGTGAAGAAGTAGTGGATGAACTTGCAGATGAAGGCGCCCAGCACCCAGGTGGGCAGCGCGTACACGGTGGCCTGGAAGGGGATGCAGAAGAGCAGGTAGGCCAGGTCGGCGATGCTCAGGTTGAGGATGAACAGATTAGTGGTGCTGCGCGGCTTGCCCGGCTTGCTGCGCGCCAGTACGGTGATCACCAGGCTGTTGCCCAGCACGCCGAGCGCGAAGATCAGGCCGAACACCACCAACGTGACGAAGTTCTCCACGCCGATGCCGAAGAGCGGCCTGGGTTCCGGGGTCGGGGGCTGGAGCCCGCTCGCGTTCCCCTCGCTGAAGTTCCCAGCCTCCAGCTCCATGGCGCGCAGGGGGAGCCTAGGTCGCGCTGGCGAAGGGCGCCTGCCGGGGAAAGAGAGGCTCCGGGGCACCCAGCTCGGATCACTCAGAACCCAGGCGCCCGGACCGAGTGGCACCGTCTTTTCGGACGGGGCCACCTGGGAGAGGACGCAGACGGGAGCCGGAGCTGGACCTTCCCGCACTCGCGAGGCGGTCCCAAGAGCGCCGGGCGTCCGCTGATCCGCCACCGAGCCGGGGAGGAGGGACCGGCCGGCGCAGCCCTGCGGGAAGAGAGAGCCCTCTCTGCGCCTTACCGGCTCCGCGCCCCTGCAGGTCGTTTCCCTCGTCCCCGAGAGGCTGCGGGCTGCACCTGTTGCTCCGCGCGTCTCCCTTCCCGCGGCGTTCCGGGGACACAGCCGGGAGCGCAGCAGCGCAGCGCGCGGTTCGTGGAGAGGGCTCGCCGCGCCCCTCAACCGGCCGGCGCCGCTTTCCCCTCGTAGTTTTTGGTCAACTCTGTCTGCGCCTTCGCCTTCGTCCGCAGGGTGCCGCTGAGATGTAGTGAGGACTCAGCCGGGCTGAAATCCGCGCTGCCCTGGGGGGTCCCCCCGCCCCCCGGAAGTCGAGGAGCGCGCAGGGTCTGGACGAATCCTAATGGGGTGGGTCGCCGCGCACCGCCTCTCCGAGAAGAGTCGCGCGGTCTTCTCTGCGCAGTGCGGACCTGCTAGCGTCCAGCGACCGCAGCAGCCGCCGGGGTGCAGCCCCCGCCTCGACAGCGGCGAGCGAGGCTGTGCGCGAACAGGGCGCGCTGGGCGAGGAGGCGGGCGTCGCGCAAGCCTCCTCCTCCATCAACACTGCTTGTCCCTTCGCTCCAGGGCTGGCGGTCGGGGAGCGCGCTCCCCGCCTCAGGAATGAAGCCCAGAAGCCGGTGATTGGCCCTCCGGCCACCTGGGGCTTTGTAAAATCCCTGACCCCACCCCCACCCTGCCGGCTTCTAGGGAGGGAACTAGCTGGAAAGGAAACGGGCGGCAGTTTGAGTTTTCTTGATAAACCTGGGTAAGATGAAAGGGGAAAGTGTCCTGTTTACACCGTCCAACTTTAGATCAGTTTTGCCTTTATGTTACTCATCAGAGTGACTTATACAGAAGGCTCGAAATATTTGTAAAATGAAAAGAATAGATTTCATTTCATTGCTGTGGATCCGCCGACAACAAAAGAGCTTTTTAAGTCTAGAAGTATTCAGTTCAGTTCAGTCACTCAGTCGTGTCCCACTCTTTGCGACCCCATGAATCGCAGCACGCCAGGCCTCCCTGTCCATCACCAACTCCCGGCGTTTACTCAAACTCATGTCCATCGAGTCGGTGATGCCATCCAGCCATCTCATCCTCTATCATCCCCTTCTCCTCCTGCCCACAGTCCCTCCCAGCATCAGGGTCTTTTCCAATGAGTCAACTCTTCGCATGAGGTGGCCAAAGTATTGGAGTTTCAGCTTCAGCATCAGTCCTTCCAATGAACACCCAGGGCTGATAGCCTTTAGGATGGACTGGTTGGATCTCCTTGCAGTCCAAGGTACTCTCAAGAGTCTTCTCCAACACCACAATTCAAAAGCATCAATTTTTCGGCGCTCAGCTTTCTTCACAGTCCAACTCTCACATCCATACATGACCACTGGAAAAACCATAGCCTTGACCAGACGGACCTTTGTTGGCAAAGTAATGTCTCTGCTTTTTAATATGCTGTCTAGGTTGGTCATAACTTTCCTTCCAAGGAGTAAGCGTCTTTGAATTTCATGGCTGCAGTCACCATCTGCAGTGATTTTGGAACCCAAAAAAATAAAGTCTGACACTGTTTCTACTGTCTCCCCATCTATTTCCCATGAGGTGATGGGACCAGATGCCATGATCTTAGTTTTCTGAATGTTAAGCTTTAAGCCAACTTTTTCACTCTCCTCTTTTACTTTCATCAAGAGGCTTTTCAGTTCCTCCTCACTTTCTGCCATAAAGGTGGTGTCATCTGCATATCTGAGGTTATTGATATTTCTCCCGGCAACCTTAATTCCAGCTTGTGCTTCTTCCAGCCCAGTGTTGCTCGTGATGTACTCTGCATGGAAGTTAAATAAGCAGGGTGACAATATACAGCCTTGACATACTTCTTTTCCTATTTGGAACCAGTCTGTTGTTCCATGTCCAGTTCTAACTGTTGCTTCCTGACCTGCATACAGGTTTCTCAAGAGGCAGGTCAGGTGGTCTGGTATGCCCATCTCTTTCAGAATTTTCCACAGTTTATTGTGATCCACACAGTCGAAGGCTTTGGCGTAGTCAATAGAGCAGAAATGGATGTTTTTCTGGAACTGTCTTGCTTTATCGATGATCCAGCGGATATTGGCAATTTGATCTCTGGTTCCTCTGCCTTTTCTAAAACCAGCTTGAACATTTGGAAGCTCTCGGTGCATGTATTGCTGAAGTCTGGCTTGGAGAATTTTGAGCATTAGTAAGCGTTATATGCTTACCGATTCACAATTAAGGGGCTGAAATTGATCCCTTCAATTCACAGTGTTTACATGATCTGTCTATATTCCCTTTCAAGTATCCCCATACCTCCCACCATTCTCCAGATGACCCCCGAGGGTCCACTAGGTGCTGGACACAGCGGCTGAGGGGGCGAACGGTGGGGAACAGGGTACAGTGTCCCCCAGGGGCAGGTGCTGTGATGGAAGTGCGCACCTTGAGGCAGGTCTGCCCTGGCCTCAGAAGTTTAGGGAGTAAGTGGGATCTGATTTCTCTTTGACTCTACCTGGATAGTTGTATTCTGCTTCATTTCCAGAAAGACTCTGAGGCAGTGCATCGACACCTGCTATGTACCAGGCATCTTACCTGCATTCTTTGCTTCATTTAGTGCTGGCAGTTCCCTTCTTGTGTCCACACCCATTTCCCAGAGGACGAGACTGAGTTTAAGTAGATTATCAAGTAAAGCAAGAACATCCTTGCCTTCCCTTAGACGATGGCTAGACCTTGTTCAGTTGTCTTGTCCATCACCCTCAGGGCCAGGTGGCCCTCTAACCTACACTGTCACGGTGATGGTGTCCTGCGCTGCACTGGAAGTTGTTTGTAATTAGATTTGGGGAAGGGTTTTCTTATTATTTTTAACTATTTTCAACATGGAACAGATATTATAAAACTGTATGCAATACTAATGGGTCCATCAAGCAGCTTGGAATCATAAAAGAAATTATCAATAAATTGAAAACACTTTTATATTCTTCCCCAGTCACAAACCTTACCCTCACCCCAGCATCTCCAGGCAACCTAAGTGTATCATCTGTTGATCATTTATTTATGCATTTATGGCATATGCGTATGTTCTTAAATAATACTCTGTGGGGTTTTGGTCTTATTTTAATATTATACGGCTGGGGTTATAATTCCATTAATGTGTACATTGTTATTACTGCAAATATACCAACACTGTTTCTTTTCATTGGCCTGCTCAACCTTTTTCAATCTTCTATGCACCGTGATGCCCTGAAATCTCTTGGAAACAGCATATAACTGAATTACTCTAGAATCCAACTTAATAATCTCATTTTTTTTAACCTGGTGAATTTAATCTGTTTACATTTATTGTTATAATAAGTTTTTATAACCCTAAGTTTTAACATTTTATTTTATGCTAATACTTCCTATTTGTTTTCTATTTCCGTGCTTCTTTTCCTCTTCTTTTTTGTCATACTTAGGATTGCATTTGAAGGTGGCTTTTTCCCTTTAATTGGAAAGGAGAAAGAATGTGGTCTGTTTTTATTCTTTTACTCATTACCCTTCAGTGCCTGCTACTTGCCCAAAATTATTTTAGGTTCTGAAAACAGAACAAAAAACAAAGCCAGGTTCCTTATTTTGTGGATCTTATCTTTTATTATGGACAAAAGAGATGGATGCAACTCCCTTCCCTTAAATGTACCCTTTTACATTCTTCCTTCCAAAGACCACAGTGCGGGCAGGTGGCAGAGAGTAAGTTTAAGGTGGAGAAAGCTGACAGGCGCCGCCCCAGCAGGTGACCAAGCAGACCCTGGAGGAATCTGACGAAACCCAGAGTCAGGACAGGGGGTGGCTGGCCCGGACCGTCAGTGCTGCTCCGTCGTTACCGTGCGAGCACCCAGCATCATGACAACAGAACATGACATCATGACAACACCAGCCCCACAGGGAACGCGGTGGGGGAGCCCTGCAGATAGCAAATGTGTGACCAAAACCTTCCCTCATATACAGGGTTTATTTGTTAAACAGGAAAGGAGTATGACCCAGGAAGCCAATTTGACTCAACAGGTAAAGGATTCGAGTGCAAAACAGGACTCACAGGAGATGCAGGATCAATCCCTGGGTCAGACAGATCCCCTGGAGGAGGAAATGGCAACCCGCTCCAGTATTGTTGCCTGGAGAATCCCATGGACAGAGGAGCCTGGAGGGCTACAGTCCAAAGGATCGAAAAACACAACTAAGCACTAAGCCCGGCATCCCTGCATCATCTGCATAGAGCTCAGTGTTCATAGATCTCAGTGCTCTGAGGGGCTGGTGCCTCCCCATCTGGGCTGAGCTCACCAGGAGAAATGGTTAACAATGTGGGTGATGTCAAGGAACACATAGCCCCACGAAGAAAAAAGACAAAAACCCATTACTTACAGGATGATAAGTCTTGTTACAGAGACAGGGATTCCAGGGAGTCCTGACAAAGGGAGCGAGAGCTATACGTTTGTACTTTGGATGCTCTGAGATGATTTTACTTTTCCCACATACTTCATTTCAAACCCAGACTTTCAAATATTCAGAAGAGAAGTAGACATATACTTTCTAGTCTAAAAGAATGAAGGACGTCTTCCAAGTCTCTTTCCAGAAAAAGTGTCACTGTTTCATCTCATAGGACTCAATAAACTGAAAACTACAGGCAGAAATTCCTCTTTTACAAGAAAATCACTCAAAAGGTCCAAATGAAGTCATTTAAAATGTTGTCAAACCAGAACTCCAGGTTCCACACC